TTTTTATTCGTGAGCTGAATATTGAAAGTAAACTCCGCGAACGAAAGGCCAAAGGTCACAGATACTTTCGGCAGTCTGCTTTGGCTGAGTGCCCCCAATTTACACGACAGCTAATGGAAGTCTGTGTACAAATATATGGCTGCGAGAAGCAACAGCTTAGCTAAGGTGAAAGGGCATGAAACCCCAATTTCGTATAGTTTATTTGCTACACTTCACAATTTCACCGAGAAACGTCCCAGGAAAAACCCCTTTTGGCAGTCTGATGCTTTACATTCAATAAAATTTGCCATTGTCAAGTGCACTTGTTCGAGTGGAAAATGTTTTTCGCTTCGACAAACACAAAAAGCTGTGAAAAGACGAATGACAAATAGAAAAATGGGAATTGCGACGAGTTAACAGGGAAAAGAGCACTTGCAGAATAGTTTTACATGTCAAAAGTACAAATTTGATAGGGGAATTCCCCAGGAAAGGGTAAAAAATTTTGAAAAATTAAATAAATTATATAAGAGAGGTGTTTTCTATGTTATACCAAAGGAAGTAAGATAGGTTTATATCATCATAAATATTTAACTTTTGGTTAAAACTTAATTAATACCCTTTACCTGATAAATTATTCAATTATTTTTTTAGATCCCAAAATTCTTATTTAAAAAACCTTATGGGCAAACTATTTAAAATAGTTTTTTTTACTCCAGATAATATCTGTAGACATTCTCTTTCAAATATTTAAATCTCTTATTATTCCACTTGTTTTTCTTATTGAACTAACGAGAGCAAGGTGGGTGCATTAATTAAATTTAATGAATTGTGACAGGGTGCTGATTTAATGCCTGCACAGCCGCTGCAAATTGGGCGGGGGTGCGAGATTCTTGTAATTGCCAAGTCGCTCGTCGTTCGTCGTGCAGCGTGTCGTATACGTGATGTAGTTTTGTAATTTCTAGCAGATTTTTGGAGGCCAAGATGCAGTTATTTTTTGGGCGGGGGGAAAGCGGAGCTGGTGTGGCGTATAAATTTCAACCAGGGTTAAAGTCAAATGCACGTGTTGTTGCCTGATATCCACACTCGCCCCCCTTCTTAACCCCCAAATGGGGCTGCTGCTCATGGACACATGGCGTATGAGTAATGTAATTTCGTTGTGACGTCAAGCTTTCCCTGGGCCTGTCAATCTCTAAGGAAAGCCCACATATCTCTGCCCCCCATCCAAACATTCCGACTCACATGTTCTCGCTTATTCCCCAAATGTCCTCAAACTCTCGGCTGCCATGCAAAAACTGAAAATGAGCTATGAAAATTTGTTGCCTGCGGCTCTTTTGCAGCATTCCCAAGGCTACTTCCTCACTTTCCTCCCCTTTCGCCACCGCAAATACACAATGCTCATTGCTTATTTATCAAATATCCACACATTGCCTGCAGTTACAGTGGGCCCTCGACTCCCATTCCCAACTCGCAACCCCCACCTCGTTGATTTGTTGAAAGGGAAAAAAATGCTTTTTGTCACACCGAAACTAAAGGGAATAATCTAACGATTTGTGTAATTTATCAATTCCATTTAGGTAATCCTTAGCTTTGAAAAAGTTATGAATTATTTAAAGTAAAGCAAAAACTATTGTATATTTCACATTTTATTATTTATTTATTTATTTATTACCTTTTCTGATTTATTTACTACGCTTTAAAGTAACTTTATTTTAGCTTTGGTGTTTAAAAATCATTTATTAAGTATTTTAACAAAGCACTTGGGAATTATTAGCATACAACAATTTTTATTATTTATAAGATGTTTACCCCAATGGTTTTATGATTAGAAACCTTAAAACTGAAAAAAATATTTTGTTAAAAGATAGAAATTTTTATTTTTGGATACAATGTTATGTAATATTATAAATGTTATACTTAAGTTATTAATTTCTCGCAGTGTTGCTGCTCTCATGCGATTGTGTGGGTGGCCGCGCAATTAGTTGGCGGCTGCATAACGAATTGTTCACCGCCGCATTTCCCCCTCGCATTCGATTTTCACGGACTGAGGGCTGAATTATAAATAAATCTCCGCATTACGTTTAACATGAATCCAAATCCCGCGTGACGTCACAGTGTCGCCCACACAAAAATAAACTTTGTTGTTGCGTGCGAGGAAATCATATTGTGGCAGGCAAACTTTAATTGACTTGAATGGGGGGAGCTCTTTGAAATGTTTTCGAGCATATCACATTTGACATCATTTTTGAATAATTAATTCTCCAACTGAATAATGTAAGCGAAATGTTAACTTGTCTGAAATTAAGCCAACACTTTATGCATTAAATACCTTCAAAAAGGGAGAATCTGCTTTCCGCTCACTTGTAATTGCAGACTTGGGATAATTGATTAGAGTTTGTTGGTAAGTGTTGGGTGAAAGGGGCGGAGAGAAGGCGATAATGATTTTGGCCATGTTTGTGTTTGGCCGCATCGTGTTTCTCTGTGTGTGTTTGCTAATTAGAGGCCAAACTTTCTGCTTAATTAATGTCATTAGTGTGCACATTGTTCCTCGGGCTGAGAGACAGAGAGATCTGTGATAAGGGGAAAATATTCGGATGGAAGTGGAACTAGAGAACGAGGGAAAAGCGGGCAGGAAAACTTTACTTGATGACTTTCCCCAAATGATTACAGGGGACAGATGCGGACTTAAAGGTCCCTGCACTGTAAAAATAAATTTACATTATAAGAAGTATATTTAGCAAAATTATTAGGAAAGTATTTTAAATAGAATAAAGTTTCAAAAAGGCTAATAAAGAAGCCAACAATAATATTAAAATAAATCAAATAGTTTACAAATTCAAAATGCTCTATAAAGTAAAAAATAAAACATTTACAAATCCTTTGAAATTTTATCCATGTCTCTTGCAAATGATGAATGCCACTGAATTTTTTTTCTCTGTACAGACCTAAAAAGATTCGACAAATAAGGTGTGTGGGTGTGTTTTATTCAGATATTAAACCCAAAGATATCCAACTAATTTAAGACCCCCTTTTTGTGCTTTAAGTTCAGACTGACAGCTCTAATTGATAAATGACCAAGAGGCAGAACATTCTATCTCCATTTGCATAATTGATAGTGAATTTTAATTGGTTTTCGTTTTGCTTACATTAGTTTCAATTTTGTATACATTACCGCCGTATTTAGTATGCAATAAACAATGTTTTTACCTTTGTCAAAGTCAAGGACTTTTCCGAAGCCACAAATCTGATAAACAAACATGTAAAATCATAAGTAGGTATATAATTTCAAAATACATTTCACGTATAATAATAATTAATCAATTAATTATTCAACAACATTTTCACCCATGTCAAAGTCAAGGCATTTTCCTTTGCGGTTTTTCTTTTGACAGGCATCAGATTTTTGCTTTTTTCTGCTTCTGTTGTATTGAACTTGATGCGAAAAATTATTTCATTACTTCAGCTCAGCGCGTCAAACAAAAAACGAAACGAGAAAAATACTTTGTTTAAAAAACATATTTAGGCAAACACGTCAAGTCTTTTGGTGGCTGGCAAAATGCCAGCGGAATTCGTATCTGTTGCGAATAGTTTGCCGAGGTGCTGACGATTGCCACGCCTCCTTTGTATATAGTATAGTAGCATATAGTAAAACCGCCCCCGGGCAATTTGCACTGCGTATTTAGAGCCGCTTTGATATTTATTTACATACGTGCGATTAACCCAACTGGTATGCAATACGAATTTTTCTTTGCACATTTGCATTTAATATTCAATGAATTATTCACTGCTGGCGTTTTTGTTTATGCCACGCAACTTGTTGAAAAATCGAAATTAATTCGCTGCCCCCAACTACCAATTAATCGTGAGATGGCCGTGTGAGCGATATTTTTATTTCGGTGTTTAGGCCATAAATAAATTTTCGTTTGGGAATTGCGCAGGATTTTCGACGGCTCTTCTTTGGCTGTCTGTCAACCGATCAGCGAGTGCGAAATGTATTTGGAATTTCACTTTAATTGCTTTTGTAAGCGATCTTTTCCCTGGGTCTGTCTATTAAGGTTGGAATTTTAATTGCGTGATTCTGTCGCTAATAGTCCGAAAATAAGATATTTTCTTCAGTTCGGTTTTTGTGGTGGGATAATGTCTAAAAATAAAGTGGTACGAGAAACTTGGGACTCGGGCAATTTCCGGTCGTTTTGAGGCTTGTTTTGCCCACATCTTTCTCTTATTTCTACCTTTCACTTAAATTTAACAAGGAAATAATGCGCATCCGCCATGGTGGCCCAAGTCCTTGCCACAATTTCACCCAGTTGGCAGCGCTTAAGCCTTTAACAACAATTAAAAATATTACTCTCGAGCACGGAGCAAATAAACAGAAGCGAAAAAAGACTGCAGGGACATGTGGGCACTTAAAGAAAGGAAAGTTTTTTTTTAAATTTATTTGCCAATGTAACACATTTGAGAATGTAATAACAATGTAAATTTTATTAAAAAGAGACTGTATTTTTAATATAAATTGGTTTTCAACATGCCTAAATATTTGGAAATTCTTTTAAAAATAGATTATCGAGGAAAACTTTGCAACAATTTCTTTAATTTAATTTTAGTTTATAACTTAATAAAAGAGAATAAAATTTTATCAAAAATTTAAAAGGTTCATAAAACGTAAAATATATTTTTCATAAAACTGAAAATGAAATGCACATGCTTATCCAAGCATATAAGGAATATATTTTTTAAAAGTCCCAAATAAGAATATTTTTTTCCGGTGCATGGGAGAGCTTTGTGGCCAGTGAAGTGGTTGCATAAGCAGCTGCCCGCCAGCCAATTTCCCGACTGCCCAAAGGACTCGAGACTGGAGACCCAAAGACCAAAAGCCTCTGACCAGCACACACACACGACAATTAAAGTAAAAGCTTGTCAAGTGCACACACATATCAGCTGCCAAGTGGATGCTGTGGGATACTTTTAAAACATAAATTAGTTTGCTCCTGACTCATCTCGTCCTTTGTTTTATTTTGTTGCAGAACCAAGAAAAGACAAGACTGATGCACAACAACACGGAGGCAATGGCACAATATCCACGCCCAATATCGAGCAGCCCACCTGCCAGGGCTCGATGCTCCCGCCCCCCGGGGGCGGTGGCCTTCACCAGGCGGATGGGAGTGGCAAGATGGAGCGCCCGAACACGCTCTCCGGCGCCAACAAGCTGACCCGTCGCGGGGTCAACATCTGCTACCACAACGAGCACATGTGTAAGTGTGTGGCGATGTCCTTGGAAATCGCTCTTTAAATCATTAGAACCTAAGTTGTTGGGTGGCAGGGTAAAGGAAACTGAAAACGTACCTTGGGTTGCTTTTATTTTATCAACAGTATTGAAATTTCAGACTTTATTTAATTGACCGTTTGCAACAAATTCCAGGTTAAAGGTTATAATTTATTTTGGATTTTTATTTAAACGATTTATAAGGAAATTTCTATTAACTTAGTCAAAATAATTTGAATGCAAAACAAAAACGTTTTTTTATTAAATTTTTCGGGACTTCCAAGGTAGAATTGAATTTAAATATTAAAACATATACTATATAAATATTTCTGAAAGCATTTTTGAGTAAAGTAATTCTGTCTTCAAACAAGGATAATATAAAAGTGAACCAACAAAGGTGAATAATATGCAACTAAAAAATATATAAAAGTGTACGTTTATAAAAAAATAATCCCATTAGGTATTGAATTGTGGTTTTATTAATCTCAAGGGTTCTACAATTTTAAGTCCATATGACTAAGCTATCAGTTTCCTTTTCCCTACAACCAACTCTTTCACACTTAGCAACCACTCACACACCTAAACAGTCACTCACCCACGCACACATGCACACTCTCACACACACATTGGCTAGACTCGAGGAAGAGCTGCTCACTTACTTTCTTTTCTGACTTTCTTTCTATATCTGTATCTGTATCTGTATCTGTCTACTACCTCTCCTCTTTCCGCTAAAACGAAAACTGAAAAAAATACGAAACTCGAATGCGAACCAACTTTCTATAATTGATCTAAATCAGATGGCGAAGATGGAAAAATGGTGGGTGGTCCGCCGGGCAGTACCCCGCCCCCTTATCCGGGTGGCAAACTGCCGCCGGGCGTAATGCTCAGCGAACTGCCGGAGCCGCCGATTCCGCTCTCGGAGATCGGCCCGATCCCACCGCCCCCGATGTTCTCCACTCCGAGTCCCACGCTCATCGCAGGACGACCTCATGGGCCCGGCGCCGTCAACGATCAGGATTACCAGCAGGACTACGACTACGATGGTAATTCCCAGTCCACAGCCCACACCTGAACCGAACCCCTCCTGAGAACCCCACCCGAGGAAACCCCTTCTAGATTAGCCAACCCTCAGCTCATTAACAAAAACGCGCACTTCATAATGTATGCTAGTTGGGGATGTTGATATTAAGTTCATATAAAAATATTAATACAAGTTCTTAGTTTAAATAGTAGTTTAACCACTTCCAACCTTAAAATTCTTAGCGAATCAAACTATTTTTAATAGGAATTGAATATTAAAATCTAAAAACATTACATAGTCAAGCCAATAAACACAGTGGCTTGTACTTTGCTCCTTAATTAATTGTATATATTGCTTATGATATCAATAACTAAATACCAATCAAATAATTAATTTTATATTATATAAAAAAAATATAATTTCTGAAAATCTTTTCCAACCATCTTTGTACAATATTTTGTATAACAATATAATTTCTGAAAATCTTTTCCAACCATGTTTGTACAATATTTGATGTACCATACTATTAATAATAACTATTATCATAAAAGTAATCACCTTAATATCAACACCGCAATAGCTAGTCCCCTCCAATGTCCTCAAACCCGACCCAAAAACATTACACATGTTTTGTCTATCCAAAACTGACTAATTCAAAATCGTTTACTCCTTGATTAGATCACGATCCGGATCAGGATGAGCTTGACTCGGACGACGAGTATGCCCCTTACGGTGGCAACCATGTGCGCATGATGGACACGCAGCGCGTCGAGGAAATTCCAGCCAAAGAGCCCAAACCAAATGCAGTTCCTCTCAAGTCGGCGCTGAAGAAGAAGGGCGGGGCCATGCCCACCTCCGCCTCCACGCCGGTCACGCCCACCCAGGATCATGGGGCGGGAAGCGCGGCATCGGCAGCGGCCATGGCAAATAGTAACGGCGGTATCGGTTCAATGGCGGCGGCCGCCGCAGCAGCGGCCCAACATTCCGCCAATCAGCGTCCTCTGGTCATTCGCCAGGATGCGGCGGGCAACAACTATTCGCTCAAGTGAGTACCAGACGGGATTACCAAATCGATCATGGGACTTAGTGCTGTTTACTCGATTAATCAAGGAAAATTTAAAATATATTTAAAGACCCTTTTAAAATGTATGTTAACTTTGAAGTAAAAATTATGCCAAATTTGTCAGTTGTCAACTTAAATATTTAAAAATTAAAAATGATTATGAAATGCCAGTTCATATTAACTGTTACATATTTAAAAAAAATATTTTTTTATCAATTTAAACCCTTTACCTCTAAACAGCCAAGTGGGAAATTTCCTTGATTAAGCTTAAACAGCATAATTATCCTTTTAAGTAGTTTAATTTTGTATTGTTTTACTAAACTCCCCCTGTTGACCCTGTTAAACACGTCCCTAACCGCCCATAACTTTCCCACGTTATTTGGTAGTTTTTTATTCCAACACCCAACTAAAGTTTGTTAATCTGCCCAGAAAGAGTTATGTTTGTCTCTCTAGTATAATCACAATTTTTTACCAATTATAATCCAAAGAAAAGCTCACAAAAAGATATTAGCCCCCAACAACCAACCCTACTATTTGTTATGTTTTTATTATTACTCGAACTATTTTCTATAACAACAATTTGTTCTCTTCTCCGTTTCCCCGACTGCCCCCCGAAAACCTGTGTTTGTTCTATTTCATATACAATTTCGATTCGATTCGTTTGTGTGTGCGTGTCGAACAACAACAAAACCCATCCACTTCTATATCTACTACTACTACTACTATCTCAACCAAAACAACAAAATATGTAACGAAATATCAGGCCAATACTACGACCACGGATTAGACTATGGTAAACAATTTTAGCTAATTTATTTGTAATGTGAAAATCATGAAAACACAAACAATAAATGCTTTTAGTGCACCCCCACATACTGCTCTCTCTCTCTCTCTATTTCTAAATGTTTTAAATGTTGTTATATAACACTACATTCCTACTTAGTTGTATAACACTCCCCGCAGTCCTTCAAAAATAATCCCCACACAAAACGAAACAAAAAATGCTCTCATTGTATCCCTGCACTTTGTGCTGCACTCTAACACCCTGTCTGTATTTTTGTACAAGTTTTTGTTTTATTTTTTTGGGTAAATAAAAACTGAAAGTTTTACAACTTTACAACACTGGTAGTACACTCACGAACACACGGAAACACGAACAATCACGCACCCACACAACCGTACTCTTATTAAATTACTAACTTTTTTTTGCTGCGATTTTCGTTGTTTGCTTCTTATGAGTTTTTCTTTTTGTTTTTCCACAACAACAACAGCACTCGAGTCCTCTCCATTACCCCAGTGCCTGTATGTGTGTATATGTGTGTGCGACTGTGTGTATGAGTGGGTGTAGTATTTTTTTTCGTAAGAACTTTTTGTCTTATTCTTGCCACTGTTGTCTGTATTTCCCTCTGAGTCCTGCATGTTTCGTTTCAAGCAGGAATTTGTTTCAAATTACAATTTTCCTTCCCAGTTTTAATTTGATATTTTCCACATTCGAAATATGCAAACAAAAAAAAAACAGAGAATGAGAACGTTAAAAGAAATTGGGTTTCACAAAAAAAAATGGGTGTAGGTCAAGTTTTTTCATTAGGAAAACTTTGCCTTTAAGTTGTCCAGAGGCGAAATGAAAACTTCAAGTGTGCCGCCAGTGCATCGAAATTGAAATTGGAATTCAAATTGAGTGGAGGACAAAGACAGGCCTCACTCAAATGCTCGAGTGTTTCGCTTTTCCCATTTCACATGACTGATATGGCCAACAATTTATGCACTTTATAACGCACAAAAATCAAATAAAAGGAAAAATATGTAAAATAGCTGCAGTGCACAGCTCTGCGAAACGTGCCTGGTAAAAAGCGATTTCTTGTTGTGCGCCCTCCAATATCTAACCATCTGTACATCTATCTTTCTATCGGAAAACGTAAGAGTGGGCACAATTTATGGGTATGTCGCACTTTAAAGCCATTTTGATGGAGGTCAAATCGCTTGCAATGTGACGGCGATGTGTCAGGAAAGAAATATGGGAGCACATAAAGGTTATGACACAATAGGAATATTTTAGAATATTTATTCAATTAAATAATTCCTGTTTTTTTTTACCTGTAGATTAAACGGAAATTAAAGGAAACCTTTTTAATATCATAAAGGTTATGACACATCAGGAATATTTTAGAATATTTATTCAATTAAATAATTCCTGCATATTTCACCAGTAGCTACTACCATTTAGATTAAACGAAAAAAAACCTTTAAATCATAAAGGTTATGACATATCAGGAATAATTTAGAATATTTATTCAATTAAATAATTCCTGCATATTTCACGATTTCACGATTTAAAAGACATCTTTTTAAAACCCAAGAAATCAAAAATGAACTTCCCCAAATTGTGGAAGATGGTTATACTCTAAACCAGAGATAGTGACTTCCTGCGTGGCATGTTCACTCTACTTTCCACGGAGACACTTGCTCGGAAACTGTGTAGAGTGCGAGTGTTTCTTTCCCCCGAGGGAACGCGTTCTGCGTCACTCATACGCCGCGTGGCCCCCACTACAAACTCCCGGGCTTTGTTCAGTTTTTATCCAATCGTGTTTGGCATTAACGCCCCGAAAGTGCGGCGGAAGCAGCCAACAGGATATGGCATTCGAGCCGGGCTTTTTAAACCTTGTGAAACCCCCGACAGCTTTAAGTACAAAGTCAAACACATGAGCGTACGAACATATATGCATGTGTTTTGCATATTATTTGCACGGGTGTGTGAGCTGCCAGATGTGCACTCCACGTGCCGCTTACGAAAAGAGAAAAGAATAAAAAAAAAAAACGAGGGGAGAAAACCAAACTGCCGCAGCAGTAAAGGAAAATAAAGAGGTGGAAAAACCCATTTTCCTCTTTTTTTTCGGCTTGGCGACAAAACTTAAAGGACAAAAATAGAAAAAGATAGACATGATACAGTTGTGCATGGGATTTTAGGAAAGGGGATTTCATTTCCTGAATTTATTTAAATGGTGGCATTTTTTTATATTACCAAATTGTTATAAAAGTAAAAGAATCTTGAATTTGCAATTGGCTTACAAAATATATACATCGATAGAATCAAAGAAATGATTCGCCATAACCATAAAAGAAAATATGCAAAGTATTTGAGCAGTTGGTCATAAATTTAAAAACAGAATAATTCATTGCGCCATAATATTCGTTATTATTAGTCTGCGAAACCGCAGCACTTATATGCGATTATATACGTAAGACCAGGTACTTAAAATGTTTATATTCCGCGCTAATATTTCAACTGCAACTGTGGAAAGAGATAACGAAAGACCTAGGACCGTGTGCACGTGGATGAATAAATTTAACACATGCAGGAGGGATATTTATGCTCATGTGAGTGCGAGGTGTGAGAAGCTGGCTAAAATCTGGCAGATTGCCTGGCCAAGATTGCGGCAAGGACTTAGAGGACTCAGAGGAGGAAGGACGAGTGAAATGCATGGGCAAATGCCTGTAGTTGCCAGTAGTTACTGTTGTGTTTTGAGGCTTGATGTGTGTCTGTCTGTCTGTAGTGTTTAATGCGCCTGCTAATGACGTGATGCTAATGTGCCCTAATGTGCCGCCTTTGATGCTTAACCCACAGCAGGCAGCAAATGTTCAACATCCAATTGCCGTGCACCGTGGAGAACAAGGAGAACGCCCGGCCCTTTGTGATACGCGAGAGCAGCAGCGACAGCGACGAGAGCGATGGCCACATCGTCTACCGGGACGAGGACAACGACAACACCCGGCTGGCCAAGTTGGCCCGCAAGGAGTCGCTGTCCCTCAAGCTGCAGCTGCGCCCGGACAAGCAGGACCTCATCAACCGCAACATCCTGCACCAGGTCAACGACAACGAGATCAAGGAGTCCAAGGAGGCGATCGGGGCGCGGCTCATCCGCCGGCTGTCGATGCGACCCACGGCCGAGGAGCTGGTCGAGCGCAACATCTTGAAAAGTGAGTTGGAATTTTAGTTGGAAAAGGGCTATTAAAATCAAGAAATTGTCAAAGAAACCAGAGGGATCTCCATAATCCAAGAAATAAAACCATTAATATCAGGAAAACATAATTTTAAACATATTCCTTAACTAATTTGATTTAATGCACGTTTTTCTTTATTAAAATCAATTAATTTTAGAGAACATAGTTCTCTTCAAATGAATTTCATACAGCGATGTCATAAATTCTTTTTGAAGCAAATTAAAATGTATCTAGTTAAGAACATTCAAAAACGTATCGTAAATTGCCAAGTCCACTTTGATGATTCTTGATTTTAGTTCACATATTCCTTTTAAATACACCACAAATTAAATATTATTAAATGCAAATAAATAATTGACTTTTTTTCTAACAGCTCAATCACCCGCCGAGGAGAAGAAGCAAAAGGAGGAGAAAAAGTCGTATTTGTTGCGCAAACTCAGCTTTCGGCCCACCGTCGAGGAGCTCAAGGAGAAGAAGATCATCCGGTTCAACGACTACATCGAGGTCACGCAAGCCCACGATTACGATCGGCGGGCGGACAAGCCGTGGACAAGACTGACGCCGAAGGACAAGGCCGCCATTCGCAAGGAGCTGAACGAGTTCAAGTCCTCCGAAATGGCCGTCCACGAGGGCAGTCGGCATTTGACGAGGTATGGGGCTATCTAGCGCCTTTAACCCACTAACTCATACGAAATTCAATGGGGAAACACTGCAAGGTTGTTTAAAAAGGGATGAAGGAAAATAGTTCCGAATAGTTTGTGATTTAAAGAAGTACTTTCGCTTTTGTAAAGTTCAGAAGAATTAGGATATCAGTCAAAATAGTTCTGAATAGACTTCAAGACTTTACTTCAAATAGACATTTATTTGCCTAGAAATTAATGGATTCAAATAACAGCTGGTGAACGTACAAATGTATTCACTTTAAATGGGATAAAATCGATTAAAGGAAATTCCATTGTATAAAAAGATTGCATTACTTTACTGTTTAGCCTCTTATTTTTTATAGTTGCTTAAAGAATGTCTTTTTATACAATTAAACCATTAAGCTAAAATAGTAATTGACATGTGCCAGGGTATTTCGCGGTTCGGTGGCCAAGGAAAACCTCTGTGTCTAACTGGTTTTGCAAATTGGTCCCGTGGGTCGCTGGGTGGGCGGTGGAGGTCGTCAGTGGGTGGGTGGGTGTGTTTCGGTGCCAAAGCAATCTCGCAATTGAGACATCCCAGTGTACAGGGCCCTGAATTATGTAGCGGGCGTGTCCTTGCGGCCAAATCGAATGGCCAAAAAGTGAGCCAAGCAAAAAATTGCCAATGCCAATGGCCAGTGAAGTGTCACGTGCAGTTTTGGCCACCAGTCAGCCAGTCAGCCAGTCCCTTACAAATGTATTTCGGCGATATGCAGTCACAAAGGATTCGGTGGCGGCTGGAACGTTTTTCCATTTCTGGTTTCCCAGCAGTTTTTGGCAGCGTTTTTTGTTCTGGGGGAAGTGTGTAATGGCTTTTGGATTTCGGTCGGTTGCACTTTATCCTTAAAGAGTTAGGGTCGGCTGAACTGCCACACGCCATTTAAACTTCGACGCATTTAATTCTATTTCCAGGACGAGGCTAAAACAAAAACTAATCTAAACTTTCTCTTGCAGATTCCATAGGCCATGACGATTGCAATGGCAGCAACTTTCCAGCAAATTACAACAGCAACCCAAGCAACAATTGTATTTTATGCAGCATCAAATTGTCAACAAATATTTAAAAGCAAAAAATTAAGCCAACAAACTAAGAAAAAAAAAAGAAAACTTTCAACGCAAAAAACCAGGCATAGAAAAGGAAATAAAATAAAACGTAAAAAAATACACAAAAAAAAAGAGGAGGAAACGTGAGAAAGTGAGGAAAATATATAAAGAAAGGCCACATTCAAGAACATAATTGATAATTTTCTGTTGATAATAAATAGCGAGAAATGCCGCTCGGTTTTCTAATTTTAAGTTCTTTATGTTTCACCTTCTTTATTTGTTAATTGTGTGTAAATAAAATTCTTTCGATATTCAAGCCAACTTCACAACGCAAATCAAAATATCAATTCGTCTTTTGTAGAAATGTTAAGTCGCTTTTTGAGTTAAGGCAATTATGTATTATATTATATAAAATTAAACAATTAAACAAGGAGAAATACTAAATGATATTCGATTAAATAATTACATTAAAGAAATCTAAATGGCTGAGAAAAATTCACATTAAAGCTTAGGCATTAATTTACACTTACTGTTGCTTTCCATACATTTTTAATTTTTGAATTAAGCCAACTAAACAACACAGAAAAACACAAAACACAAAATTCTAAACGAAAAATTATGTTTTACATTTATAATTACATTATTGTAAAAAGCTTAAAGGTAAACAAAACAACACATTAAACTTAGAACTACCACATATACGATAATGCCGAAAAATAAACTCTAATTTTTCGAAAGACATGTTTACGAAAAATAATTTTGTTGTTTTCGTTATTGTTTTCAGCCTGAGTTGTTTCTTTTGTTAAGTTCCCAATTGTCTTCTTACATGTACATACATATCGCCAAAGAAAATTGCATGGAAATCTAAAACTTATCGTGGAGAGATAGGAAGGAAACCCAAAAAAGCAGACAAAAGAATGCTCAAGCTGAAGGAGAATGGGTAGCAAATACAGCCCAAAAGTATATAAGAACTCTAATAATAAATGGCAACAAAATATCAGGAAAAATAAACTGAAGCAAGTTGGACCCAGAACGAAGTTTTTTAGCGAGGAGAACAAGTAAAAGAAAAATTACAACTTAAGACGTAAGTCACGTAACCTAAAACTTTTTAGAGACAGAGTACAGAGTTCGGAACAAGATGGAACAACATCATAATGAATATTTATTTTGTAAAAGCAGGGAAAAGCGGAAACTGAAACTTTTACTCAAGCATTCCACATAGTAAACTTAACCAAAAAGAAAATATGGAAATTTCCACACAAAAAAAAACCAAAAACCAAAAAACAAAACGAAAACAAAATCAGAAAATTGTAAATTTTGAAGCAAATGCAAATTGAAATGCTCGCGCGTGCTCGTGAATATTTAAACATAAAGACGTAAAGTAAATGTAAAAGTAAAACTAAAACTAAAACTAATGTTAAACTAACACGTAACGTAATGAACTCCGTTTCAAAGGACACTTAGTAAGATACAGATACAGATACAGACACAGCATATAAATTAAACGAAGCAACTTATTTCGAAAACCCCCGATTATGGGATTACCCCATGGACATTAGTTTAATGGTACAGTGGCGCTTCCTTTGCAAGTTTCATACTTCTAACCGAACACAGGGGGACTTGTAACCTTTTCGGTATTGGATAATCCACGGATCGAAAACTATAGCAGTCCCTCGTTTCAATCCGAATCCGAATCTGAATCTGAATCTCTCTCTATGTCTGCCTCTTGCTTCAAAGCGTTGCATTGTCAAAGTTAAGCAATATAAATTGCATATATACATATAACAAATATATATAAAAACGGAATAAATAAATTATACATATTAATGACTATACAAAAGGCAGAATATATATGTATATATTCATTTATGTATACACCTATTTATATGAGATGAAGCAGCCGAAGCTATACAACTCTATCAATATGGGATAGCATAGTTTACACTTTTTCTATGGAGCGATTTATAGTGTACGATACACGAGAATTAGAGCAGAAGAGCCAGAGGCGTCGTCGGTTTCTCGACCCCTTCGAACTCCCCGAGCAAAATGTGCATGCGATTTACGCGATATGCAATAGGCGATATTCGATAGACGATAGGCGATAGGTCTGCTATCTAGAACCGACTTTCGTATTACAGCAGGGCCTTTCCTCCTCGATCCCCACCAGTTTTCGTTCTTCTGCCATTGGTTCTTCCTACTCCCTATTTTTCGACACATCTTTGCCAATTTCTGCAGTTGCGGAAACCAAAATAAAAACGAGAAAAATACAAAAGATCTATAGCAATAAATAAGAACACCACGAAGCGATTGGAGCATAGAGTTTTTGGGCCAAGGCCGAACAATGAAAAACCACAGAAAAAGTTGTGAAAATTTGCAAATGCGAAAAAGGGTTAAGTACGTACGAGTAAAGAAGTTAAGAATTGTAGCGGAATAAGCGTAGCGAGAGTTTTGGCAAAAACAAAAAACCGAGATCACAAACAACAGAAAAACCAGAAAAATATTGAATAATAATCACCGAAAAATTGAGATTTAATAAAGATTTAATTACTTACAAAAATTATCAAGTGTTTTTTATACAAATTTATTACAGCGTTTCTTACTACTGACAGAAAATAGTTTTCTGTATTAAAGCCAATACGGATCTATGGAGATAAAAATATTAAAACGGGATATGATGTTGTAATACTTGTAGTTACTTACAATTTTGAGGGATCGCTTTTAAGTAGAAACAAAATACAAAACAGATTCTTAAGGATGGACTTTTTCTACCCCTAAAAAACTACGGATCTCCTGAGAAGAAAAAATTATAATTGTAAGATATTCTGATTCTTGGCACATCACAAATTATTGTTAATCCCTGTCTACGTTGAAACGATAACAAATCTCCTCGCTATTTCGACAGGTATTAATGGCTTCTGCCAGAAGTTTCGCTCCCACCGCCGTGAAATTTTCCATTCCAAGATAATCCGACGCCTTAAGGAGTTGCAATAGGAAATGCGGTTGGGCCATATCCTTCTTAAGAAGATTTAAGAAAATTTCTTTGCTCCTAGTCATTACATTGTCTTCGAGATCCTGCACCAAAGTGCACCACTTGATTATAAATGCCATTATTTCACCATTGATCCTCGGCAAAGGAATAATGTCAAACGAGTAACAACCTTCCTCCATTCTCATAATACCGCAAATGGTTTCCCCCAACTGGTGTGCCAATCGAATGTCCACTGTATGGACAACGCCATCGTTTGTTTGTAGATTAACAAATATTGGCATTTTTGATTCCGGAGGAGTGGTAGACATTTTGCACTTGAAGAATTTTTGAGGTTTTTGAATGTTTTGTATTGGACTTGCCAAATGGGTTTGGTATACTATGTTGTCGGCCTGTTATCTATGATCTTTATATTTTTGATTGAGCACCCAAGTGTAACTAGGTTTACGAAAATAAATAGTTTTTAGGAAGGAATATGCATGATGTTATAAGGATATCATGGGTAATGTGAGGAGTAAGTTTATAATTGTTGCAATTAAAGGAAAAACTAATTTTATATGCTGTTTGCCAGATAACCGCCTGAAAATATGCTTTACGAACTTCTAGAAACCGTACGTAAACCCCTTGTCTACTTTTGTGAAGCGGTGGTTTATTTCATTTCCACAGATTTCCCGGCAAATCCGCTTAAGCTCTTGTGCGAATTTCCCCCATCTTTCCCCCATTTCATTCATATTTCGCTTTAGCCAGAACACATGACATTCATTCATGAATTCCACGGCGTTTTCCTCAGCCATTCTGCACATATTTCACATGCCACGTATTTCTGGTGGTTTTGTGCCTCCGTATCTTTGCATCTCGAGGCTTTTGCGTACGTGCCAGACCAGAAAAAAACAAAGTAAAAGCCAGGTGAAATGCGGTGCGAGGGGGTGAAGGGCTCCAGGTGAGGCGACACCAATCACAATCATCATAAGACCATCATGCCATCGCCATTCCAGTTGATTGTGATGAGCTCTGGTCTGGAGATCTTGCGAGTCGAGTGCCTGTGAATGTGCCTTTTTCGACTGCGGCCTTTACTCGCGAAAGTTTTATCGCCGCGGCGAGATTCTAACATTTTTGTGTGCATTCCACTTTGGTGCGTTGTGGTTCCTCCGATTTCTCAAGAGTTTTTCGCTCATAAAACGTACTCGAACTCATTAAAACGCGCACTCTGATAACTGAGATGGCCGAAAAGGCAAATTGGACACCGTCAACTGGTGCCGGTCGACTGCTGCGATGGAATATGACTACACTGCGGAAATAATTGGAGTTTGGGATACGGTACTTAACTAATTTGCATTAAAACAACTATTAAATCATTTTGCCCATTTCGCGAAAAGGTCATATGTAGAGGTATTAGCAACATTCAACTAAAGTAGTTTTAAAGATGATACAAAAAGAACAACAAGGAAAAATCAAATTGAGCGGCTTTGGGGTAATTAATATGCCACTAACTTTAAAAACTGCACTGTCTTAAAAAAATATGATAGCCTTAAAATTTAAGATATAAAATGAGATTTAAATCTGTTTGGCTTGGCATCCTTAGTACTACAATTGTAAACTTAAAACTTGCACTAGTTATAAATATTTAAAGTCATCTTTAAAATTGTCCACTGATCCTTAAAAATAAATTAATTAATATTGTTTACTGTTATAAACTTTAAAGGTTAAATGAAAGATATAACCACCTTTTTTATTAAGCTATTTATAATTGATAGGCATTTTTTACATTCCAAATAATTAATTTCTCACTTGATGTAATTAGCTAACGTAATTTAAATAACTTATTTCTCATTTCGTAAAATCATTGTGTTTTTTAAATATCCCGCTCAAAAAAGAAGAAAAGAGAGAGCCTAAAAAGATAAGAATCATTGAGAGAGCCTGAGAAGCTGAGAATCCGTGAGAGAGCTTTTATTACCGTAATCCTAGATCAGAAGCTGCGATTAATGCGCGCAGTAATTGTTTTGTCTTCGCAGGTGAACGAAAAGTACAGCAACCCACGCAATTTACAAATAATTAAATTTCAGCTTATTAAGGCTTTTAAAAGTGTTAAAAAAGTGATATTCAATAAAATAAGAAGTGATTACAGAGGTGTTGAACAACTTTCGTGCTGTATATAGCGTTTCAGCCCCTAAATTAACAAATTTCTGCCAAGGGTGCTCCAAATGTAAAACATACATATATACGTATGTGTGTGATTTACGTGCTCCCAAAAATACATATATACATCAAAGTGTAATCTGCATGTGCAATGGGCATGAATGTACATAATTTACTGTTCCTTTCCTTTTTCGTTGATTAAAAATATAAAATAAGCTTAATAATAATATGATTAATATAAATTAAAATATGTCGGAAGCAGGAAAAAATCAGACTAATACCAAGGGCTAAACAAAATAAAATGTTAAGAAGCTTCAACAAATTGAAAATATCTACCAAGTACAGAGGTAAGTGACTTCGATAATTGAATTTAATAATAATGGATAATATTATTGAAAATTGATTATGTGATTACTTAAAGAAAATTTTCAAGTTATCAAGAATTTCACATGAAGATGAAATATTTTTTTGAGTGTGCAGCCCGACGTGTTTGCATGTGCGTCTTGCTGCTGATTTATTTGATGGGCAGTTTGGAGATGATGTTCTTGCTGTCGGGGGAGCAGTACGTTGCAGGTTCTTGAAATGGGGCAAACGGCGGAAAGATTCAGCCAGCTTTCCAACGGCCAATTAGCCAGCATCACGTGTGTGTGGGAAAGCCCGGTAAAAATCCAGAAAACGGGAAGAAAAACCACTGCAAACAGCTAGAGATCGAAGGGTAATGAAGAGATCCATTCCTTTCGGAAATATCAGATGTCCCGGAGCCACATTTTCGAGCACTATCAATCGCCGCGTATCTGGAAAATCGGTTAACACTTCAGCATCAATGTGCCTTACAGTCATGTCCATTGTTTTGGGTCAGCCTGCCTGCTTTTTGGGCTTTATTTTCTTTTGGGGGGCGAGGAAAATTTGCATTTGGCCTGTTGGCCAGGTTCGCGACTCAATGGAAGTCGCCCGTTTCATCCCTGGGCTTTCTTTATGACCCGACTTGCAGTTTGCAGCTTGCAGTTTTTCTTCTCTGTTTTTTTTTTTACTTATTTATATGTATACATTTTTCACTGTGGCCTTTTGTTCGGCCGGCCTGGCATAGAAAAGTTTATTTGATTCTATTTTCATTTTATTTGAATTGTGTTGTGTTTGTGGCTTTTATGGCTCGACTTTGCGCCGAGATTTGTTTGTGAAAGTTGGCCAATATCGATGAGGAGGCTTCTCCGTCGCCTTTGTTGGCTTTTTGGTGGCTCGCTTTGGTGGTGATTGTAAAACAATAAAAGCAACACCTGACTGCCGTTTGCCAACAATGGCGACGACTTTGTTGGTGGCCAGGCGGTTAACAAATGCCGGCTAGATTTTATCTCTGGCTCTATGCTCCTGGCCCCAAACTCCAAGCACTGTCCATTTTTGGCCAAAAACAAAACATGCTTATTGTTTGTAGATTTTCCGCAGCGTTAACCCAAACATTTCAATTGCGTTGCGATGCGTTTTCTGCCTGAATCTGAATTTCAGGCAAAAGTATGGTTGCATGGGAAAAAAAATGGATAACGATATCAATCTGAATTGTATGAGAAATCATAATAGTTTAAATTCAAATAATTGAATACAAAAATGCAAGCTAGTAATGACATTGAATTTAATAAGGCAAAATAATAGCATTTATAAGGAAAAAATGTGTAAATAAAAATTTGATAGCGGTTACGTTCAAAAGGATGTTTCTTAAAAACATTATTATCTTTCTTACTTACTTAATTAAACGCCTTAAAAATGTTTAAGGAGTTTTCTAGGCCTAATAAAATGATAAGATCATTAAATAAGAAAAAGCTTATGAGTTATAATATAATTTATAATTTACTTCTATGAAATTTTAATATTTATTGAAATTACTATGGCATTAAAAATATTACTTATCATTTTATGAGTTCTTCTGGTTATTTTACATGACACATTTTCGTAAGAGGCCGATTTTAATGATATTTTTCGCGGTGAACAAATTACCGAAGAGAGAGAGATGGCAACGGGCTGAGCCGAAATTAAATCTAAATCTAAATAAATAAAAATCGTGCACTGTTAAGTGAAAGGCATCGACGACGATCTGTGTGCTGCTGCAAATTTAATCAATTGATGAGGCAGTTGCAACTAGCAACTCGCAGGTTGCAGGTTGCTGGCCCGTTGCATTTGTTTGTTGTTTGTCGATGGCTGCCAAGCAATTTGGATTTTGTGGCACCAACTGTAGCGGCCACAAAATAACAACGATCCTGACCAGAAAGACATTTACATTCTACTGTTTTTGTCTGATTGTCGTTGTTGTTGTTGTTGCCACTGCAAGTGTCGCTGTGGCACATTCAACAACAACAACAGCAGCAGCAACATCAGCAAACCGCCGCACACTTTACACGCTGCAAACCGTGACTTTAATTTTCTTTTTACTCCCTCTCAACGTTTCAGTTTTTGATTTGTTTTCCCCCTCGTTTTCTAATTTTTTGTTGCCATTTTATATAATTTCAAAACTCATTTCCCAATGGCCGCGCTTTTCATTAAATCGCCTTGCAATGTCGCCAATAGTTTTTGTCCGTTTTTGCCCCGCTGCAACGTAGTTTTTTTGTTCCAGCCGTTTTGGCTGCCAATGCTTTTAATTTGTAATTACATTGCACACTTTACTTTCGTTTGTCCGGCTTTGATTTATGGCCCACAGAAATAAACGTCCAAATTGCTAAATGGCAGGAATTGGCCAAATGGAATCGTGAGTGAAGTCACAGAGCCACAAAAGCTTGTCAATTTAAGTCAGGCAACTGTGATCGTAAATGGAAGATTCAGAATTGGCCAGGAGATGGGTTAACTGGTCTTTCTCTTTCTTTTTATGACTTTTACATTTATTTTTTTGTTGTTCAATTTAAATATCGTTAAGTTTTATATAGAAGGGAAAAGCATTTAATTGCTACTTGTAGAATAAACTGGAGTCAATATAGGTCAGTCTTTCTTTGTATTTGATTTTTAGAGTCTTAAATATTTTTTAAAATCCGCCCAGTAAGATTAAAGTAATTTTATAGCTTTACAGGAAGTTTAGCTCCCTTGTTTATAAAAATATAAATCCAGCTTATGTGTATTATAGATATTCTTCTTCTCTTTCTAGTATTTGACTTGTATTTCCTTTCATAAATATGTCATAAATAGTTGTACCTGCTGTGCTGTCTGTGCTATCGATAAATAAGCTCATTAACTGCCGGTAAAATGTTGCTATTGCCGTTGTCGTTGCAGCTGACACTTGCTGTTGCTGTGGTGCAGCAGCAGCAACACGCAATAGCAGCAACTCAACAGCAACACCCACTCGTTTTCAGTGACACACACACACACACACACACGGGAAAAGTGCAACGATTCCAAAGCGCTTCTATTGACAACTGCAACAAGCATTGCTGTTACGGCGGCAACATGTTGCTGCAACATCGCGTAGACCCATTGATTAGGTGACCCTTGTAGTGGTCCTCTGTTTTCCTCGGTTGTCTTGTGTCTTGGCCCCAATTGTCAATGACTTTAGCTGGTTGCCGGTGGCATGTTGCATGTTGCTGTTGGTAGTTGCCGTTGTCTTGCCATTGATTGAATTACATACAAGCTCTCCCTTGGAGGAGACCTTAAGCCGCCAACGCAAAAGCCAAAGAGTCAGGCCGGTTAGCCAGTTAATTAGCAGCTAGTTCAGCAGGCTGTCCTTGTGCCAAATGTGAGTGGGTTGCCCGTGATGTGGGATCAGCAAAGCAGCCAAGAAAAGCCCCAGAAAATAACCAAGAAAATCCAATCAAAGCCAGCTCAAGGATGTTCATATCGTTGCCACTCCAGATTGTATCTTTATCTCTGGTTTTATACGTATTTCAAGCACATAATCCTGTCTTTTAGATAATTTTCAGCAACCGTTTGCCATACACAATCCTTTAAGCCGCTTCCAATGCGAATGGACAGCAGATACTATATCACCATTAGCATTGCCAGGTTTCCAATCACTCACTGTCCGAATGCATAAGGCATCAACCTCAGGTAGCCCCGCTATTTTCCCGCTTTTCCCTCGCATTTCCCCCACCCCCTCAGAAAACCGCATTCGATGGCGAACTTGTCCTTAAAATGTCAGCCAAAGTGTTCATTAATTTGTGTTTCTATCCCTGTCTTTTATTTGCTCCATTTTGTTTATGATTGTGGCGCGTGTGTGCGTGTTTGTGTCTGTGTCTACTCATTGATCATGAATTCCATGAGCTCGGCATGAGCTGCATGCGTCATTCAAAGTCTGCTATTTACACAGCACGAATAATATCTTGCAATATTTTTTTGGAAAATAGGGCAAACATCAATTGACATGCTAAGAACTATTTTTCTTTTATTTGTTAAATAAATAATTTTTAGCAGATAATCATTTTACTTCAGAAAATAAAGGAAAAAAGAACACGATTATATTTGATTTATATATTAAAATCCGTATTATTATTTTAAAGAAGTTTTATTTTTATTTAAAATGCATTGAATGAACAAAAGAAAATACTTTACTATTTGATAAAAAAAATGGTTTTAATATTTTCCCTCTTGTGTATCCATATTCATGTGCCACCACCAATTGGCGACACAATTTTTGCTGCCTTTGGCATGTGCCACCCCCTCCCCTCTCTCCCCACTACCACCCTCTTGCCCCAAAAAGAAACCACAGTTCAACCTACGCAAGAAAAATAATCTCTTGCCTGTTGCCAGTAGTTTGTAATTTTCATGTAAAAGTCGCGCCGAATGCAAAATGGCCCTGCGAAAACCGGGCAACCAACAACAACAAGAGCGTTGACTGACTGACGGGTTGCCACGCCCCCTCTGGGTCCAACCGCCCCCTTGGCTCGATATATACCCAACCATCAATCTCAATTGCTTCGCGTTCTCATATGCGACTCTTCGATCATTTTGCAGGCTGACAGGCAACAGGGACCCAACAAAAGGCAACAACGGTAATAAAAATTGCAGATTTGTCACAGCAATTGCTTTTTTTTTGTTTTTGCCGGCCAGATATTCTGGTTTATTTTGTTTTTTTTTGCCAACATCGTGTGCCTGTAATTACTTTTTATTGTGGGTATTTTTTTATTTATTTCTTGAAGTTTTCGTACTTGTTGGCTTGTCTTTTATTTTCTGTTCTGGATTTATCTCGCCCAAATGTCTACGCGTGATTAAACGCTTAAATTGCCAGATATGATATATCCCAGATATCCCAGCCTGTCGCCGTCGGTTCTCCTCCGACTTGACATATATGTAGATATAGGACCCGATTGCCGGGGATTGTCTTCTGGTTTTGAAAGTCTGTGCCAGTGGCTGCCTGTCGATGTTTGTTGTCTGTTTCTTG